GCCGTGTTTTGAATGAAGTGTGCGGGATTGTGGTGGGGAAATGCATGATCTTCCCGCGTGAACGCGTTCGTAGAAAGTGCCCGCGAGTGCCCGTGTGTCTGAAGGCGTCCTTCTCCCCTCAGAAGCTGTGGGGGCTTGTGGGGTGAGGGAAGATGGCGGCGTGGGGAGAAGCGGCGCGAAGGGAGGTGGGGCTCAGGGAGGCGCTGGGGCCGTGAGGAGGCGTTGGGGTGCTCTGGCAGGGGCTCTGGCTCGCTGGGGAAGGTGGGCTCTGCCGGGGGTGGGTGATGCAGCTCCCTCCAGGCCCGAGAGGTCCCACCAACCTCGACGCCACAGCGCAGCGCCTGTGGCTTGCCCTCCTGGCTCAGCCCCACAGAGAGACGCCCGAGGGGCTCCTCTGGGCGCCGCACACATGACACAAGCCACGGGGCTGAGGATTAACCTTTATCATCAGGGGAGCCAAACCGCGCAGAAGCTCAGGCTGGGATCAAGCCTGCATTGTGTCAAGTGCTGGCAGAGCCCAGGAAAGCCTGGCCAGGGCAGCACTCGCCGTCCTCCCACCGCAGCAGGAGATCCCTGCTCCTGTGTGTTCCTGGGCTGAGCCCTGGCAGGTCTCGCACCGCGTCAGGCTGTCTGATGCTCCATGGGGGACATTGGGGGTCGAAGAGGAGGTTGCCGCACCTCACGGCGCAACGCGGTGCTGCTGGGCTTGCTCAAGCGTGCGAGAGGGTCTTTTGCCATTCCTCCTCCGGCTGCCATTCTCCCTGTTGAGGGCTTTGCGTCAGGGTTGCAAGGCAAAACGCAGAAAGCTTTTGTTCCCTGTCTCTAAAACCAGTTGAAGGCATGTGACAGGGAGCAGTAATAGCTGCCGTTGTCTTCGTGGCGGGCAGATGTGATGATGAGGATGCAGGCATTGCTGGCGAGGTCTTTGGTAGCAGAGAAGCGGTCGGGAATCTTGTCGGGCTTGTGCTTGTCTCGCTCGGAGTTGTAATAGAGCAGATACCTCAAGGAGTGCCCCGGGCGCTGCTGGTACCAGGAGATGCCGAACTTGCTGATATTGTACTGGGGGCTCAGGGTGCAGGAGAGCCGAGCGGTCTGCCCGGGCAGCACCAACACGGAGGGTGGCTGGGTCAGCATGGGCTGAGCCCTGGAAGCTGTGCACACCAAGGATGCAGTTAACTGATGGGCTGAGCCATGTTCCCCACCACCCCCAGCCCCAAGACGTCCCCCCGCTCCCTTGAGGCAACCCTGT